GCCGGCGCCGCGCCCCGGAAGCGGAAGTGTGGTCTCCTGGCTGTCAGGGGCCGCGGCCGCGGGATTTGGGAAGTGCGCTGAGCGGCGCTTTCTCTGGTTGTGCAGCGCTCCCCCGGCGGGCGGGGCGCGGGGCCGCGTGCGGGATGAGCACCATGTTCGCGGACACGCTCCTCATCGTCTTCATCTCCGTGTGCACGGCCCTGCTGGCCGAGGGTGAGGCCTTGCGCGGTCCCCGGGATACCCCGCCAGCCCTCCTGCTCGGGGCGCGTCCACCCGCCCCGGCACCTCCGGGCAGCTCGCCAGGCCGAGGCGGGCGCGGTGTGCGATCGACGGCCGAGGTCTCCTGGGTCCGAGTCGATCGCTCTTGCGCCTTTCGCAGCCAGCTTCGCGCCCTGGCCCGCTGGTTCCCGCGTGGAGTCCGTTGTATTGACGTTTGGGAAGTTACCTCGGAGGAGATAATGACGCAGCGTAGCCACTAGTGACGGTTTGTTGTGGTTGATCCAGGCGTTTCTCCATCTGCATGTTGCTTTTAATGTTCTAGGTATAACCTGGGTCCTGGTTTACAGGACAGACAAGTACAAGAGGCTGAAGGCAGAAGTGGAAAAGCAGAGTAAAAAACGTGAGTATGGCAGTCTGTTAGAAACTTCCAGCGCCTCACGCTCAGTGAGCGCAGGTTCGCAGTGAGCACCTGGGGGACCACCGGGGACAAACAACTTTGCAGGAACACGAGGGTGAATCCGACTTGAGTGAAATCTTGTTCACAAATACAAGTTAAAGAGATTTTTGCTGGAAGGCGTGTGCGCTCGCTGGAGAGAGAGAGACAGAAAGGGAGAGATCATGGGGGTCGCTGGGGAGTGGCCATGCTACAATCCATTCTCCATTTTCCTCTGGAATCTTGGGCGGCACAGGTGCCCAGCGTGTTCTAAGCCACCAGGTCTGGGACTCGAACTGTGGTCAACTGTGTGGGAGTCCAGCGGGAACCATTATGCCACCTGCTGGTCCCAGAGATAGATTTTTATGCAGAATGGTAATACAGATGAAAGGAGTAGCAGGATAGAGCAGGTACTCCTGTGTGGTGGCAGTTTCCCTTCCAGTTGTGAGCAGCCCTGGAATCCCTCATGATGCAGATGGCCTTGTGGTTCTTTGGGGGTAGTTAGAATTTGGATCGAGAATGAGGTAGAGGAAGGAAATAACAGGTGAAGAAAATAGCATATGAGCGCAAATATGGAGATTTTTACCTGGGGGGGATATCTGGCCATTATCATTGCAGTCAAAGAAAACGTGTCTTCAGGGTAAGCCAAGTTTCAGTTGGATGACTGAAGAAATGTTTTGAGGAAAAGATTACAAATAAGCAGAGTTTGGGGTTAGCCGTGGCGTGGTGGTTAAGGTAGCTGGATCCCACGTAGCCGACCATGTGGTTCAAGTCCCAGGCTTTATGTGTACACGTGTGCCCAAAATCCCAGGAGAGAGATGAAAGAGAAGGGATAGGGGCTGTTTTCTCACTTAAAAAAAAAAATAAGTAACAAGTAGAGCTTGTTGTCTTCGAAATGAAGTAGGGATTTCTGTAAGACACAGCTGAGGATACAATGTGAATGGCTCTTTGGAGGCCTGATTTGACTTTCAATGTTCTTTTCTTCCTTGTAAGGAGTGAATATAGCTGGCCCCCAACTTACTGTATTCTGATTTTACAGTGGTGCAAAAGTGATCGTCAGAAACCGTACTCTGAGTACCTAACCATCTTGTTTTCCCCTTTTTATACAATATTGATAAATTACATGAGATGACCAACACTTTTAGAAAACAGGCTTTGTCGATTTTGCCCAACCATAGGTTAAGGCAGGTGTTCTGAGCATGTTTGCGGTAGGCTAGTCTAAGCTAGGATGTTAGGTAGGTTAGGTGTATTTAATGTATTTTAAAATGTTTATTATTATTATTTTTTAAAATTTTGCTATAGGGCATGGACACTCACCAGAAAGAGGCAGAGAGAGAGAGAAAGTGAGAAAGCAAGCCATCGGATCTAGGACTCAAACCATGGTTGGCCATGTGGGAGTCCAGCAACCTAGCCATTACGCTAACTGCTGGTTCCCCCCATTGCCTGTATTTTCAACCTTTGATATTTTCAGCTTGCAGTGAGCTTGCGATCATGTGTAACCTGAGCATAAGTGCAGGGACATCTGCAGTCTGTTCTCAGGGTACAGCCAGAATGATCCTCTTAGAAACCTGTCAGAGGCCAGCCAGGTGGTGGTGGTGGTGGTCAAAGCAGCTGGATCCCATGTGGCCAGCTTTGCAGCTTGAGTCCTAGACCTGGTGGCTTGTAAACATGTCAAGTGCATGTGTGTGCATGTCCAAAATCCTGAGAGGAGAGTAGAGGAGAAGGGATTGCAACGTAGCCATCCCCCTTGGGGCTGATTTTTCTCTTTCCTTCTCTCTGTGTCTCTCTGTTTTTGTCTAGTGAGTTCTCACACCTTATAACAAAACAAACAAAAAGACCTGTCAGGAGCTGAATGGCCCAGTGGTAACACAGCTGGACCTGCTTGGGAAGGCCCTTAGTTCATGTCCTGAAACTTCCTTGTGCACTCCAGGTGTGTGTGCAGTGCTTGTGATCTGGCCTGGAGTGTGACATGGAAACCCTGTTGGGGATACCCACCCCCCAACTTTCTCTTTCTCTCTGAAGAGATAGGTAAATTTTTTTAAAAAAAGAATTCATTTAAAAAAGAAAGCCTAGCGGGACCAGCAGTTAGCATAATGGCTATGTTGCTGAACTCCCATGTAGCTGACCGCGGCTCGTGTCCCGGACCTGGTGACTTAAAACTCACACCGGGCACATGGGCGGGCGTGCCCCAGAT